ACTGGCGTGCTGCAACTGTATGGACCCCACTTCGTGAAATGTTTGCACAGAGGGCTCTTGTTGATTTGCTGGCCCGCCTTCACTTAGGGCGGGCACGAGGCTTGCTGGGGCCTTAGCCCAGAACATGTACATCATGGCAAGGCCCCTTCTTGAGGGCTCAATCCTCACATTTGGAAGAAAAATATAAATGCATCTGGATTTGTACTTTTTCACGGTTGTACCAACCGAGGCAGGCAGGCCCATTGGTGATGTGCAGATTTTTTGTGGCACTGTCCGTGTTGTTCTTTCCTCCTGTTTCGAACTTCTGAGGGCGTACTCACACTAAGGACTCGTTGACTCAGCTGGAGCTGGCTGCAATTGGAGGCAGATTGGGCGCTGGACCCGGTTTCCAGCATGAGCTGGCGTTTCAGCAAAGCTTGGCGCACAGCGGGAATGCACCTCGTACGAAAGGGGCACGGATGTACTGATCCTGAACTATGTTCTTATTCTTACTAAGAGTTTTGGAACAGGTATCGATTCTTTGCAGACTCAGCTCACACTGCTGTACGCCCATTGCGAGCGGTACCGTCTTTGGGGTACCGCAATGGGCCCGCACTGCTGTACGCCCATTGTGGTACCCTCGTCAGGGTTCCGCAAAGAGGGTACCAGCAATGGGCCCGGTGTGTACTTATGATGCGTATGGTGTGCCGTTGTGGAGGCAGAATTCTTGGTAAGAGGTCTCAGGACTGGAATATGGGCCCGGTGTGTACTGACCCAGACTTTGTTGCTGGTCTTGTGATGTTGGAACAGATAAGCTGGAGGCTGGAGGCTGAACCTAATGGTACCTGCACTAGCCCTGTGTTTGACGGTACAAAGGCTCGGAGAGGCTCTGCACAGCCTGGCAGAAGTCCCACCCGGACCCCTCCTCGGCATTCGGCATCGTCAGCCAGAGGACCCTATCTACGTTCTTCAGACTCAATGAGCCGGAGTTTCTCGTCCTATCAGTCGCTGCCCAATTCTCCTCTCTCGCAAGCCGGCGATGCTCCTCAGAGGCATCCGTCCAGCGTTGGCCCTAGCAGAACCACAAGCGCTGCAACTGCGACCGCAGCTACAGCAGGTGGCAACAGCACCAATAGTGTGACGGGAGACGCTCTTGGATCTGGCAGTGGCGGGTCCGGCCGCGCTTTGGCGGAGAGTGAGGTGCTGAGCACGGTCAGTGGGACATTGGTAGATGCGTCCAACGACGGTTGGAATTCGGGCTCCATGGGCGGGCACTCGGTCTTGCTGACAGTCTTGGATTCAGGCATTTGACTCAACCCTTTGCAGGTTTGTTTTGATGGTTGGATGCATTTTTCTTAATGTGTTTCTTCTTGTGGAGGTTCAATAAAAGGTAAGGGGATTGGTCTTGCTGCACTTTTCGCCGCAAGATTTTGTGATCCCAATTTGCCAAATTAAAATGCTGATGGTAACTAGAGGGGGTGCAGACTCGATAGAACCAAAGGAAAAGGGGTATCTGTTTTCCACTCATCCACAGGTGGCCAACGGATTCGCAAACGGTACGAGGAGGAGGCTACGTTACGTTGCAATGCAGCCAAAGACGAGTCTCTCTGGCACAAAGGCTGATGGAAAGAGGTGGTTCCACATCGTCTGGAAGATGATGTCCAGGTGTGGTGAACTGAAGGAAAAGGAGTGCCTGTTTTGCACTCATCCTCAGAAGGCTAGAGAAGGATGTGCCAATTGACTCGAAAGCGATCCGCAGGGCGAGGCCACGCTGCAGCGCAACCGGAGAGGAGCGTCTCTCTCACACAAACGGGGACGGGCAGACGAATTCCAGACGGTCCGGAGGAGGATGTCAGGGTTTGGTGCAGTGGGCCGAGGAAGTTCCGGACGGTCCGGAGAAGGATGTCCAGTGCAGCAATGCAAGTCCTCGGCCGGTCCGGAGGAGGATGTCCAGGTTCAGTGCAGCAAAGCAAAGAGAGCTCTTACCAGCCACAGGTGGAGGGGCAGAGGAAGTTTCAGATAGTCTGGAAGATGATGTCCAGGTGCAGTGAACCGACGGAAAAAGGGTACCTGTTTTTCACTCATCCTCAGGTGACCAGAGAAGGATGTGGCGATGGACTCGCATGCGGTCCGCAGGACGAGGCCACGATGCAGCGCAATCAAAGAGGAGTGAAAGAAATGGGCCTCATTCCACCACTGGAGATTTTCTACATGCATTTGGGCGACTTTCTGTACAAGGTGCATTCTGACGAGTCCAACACAAAAGGGGAGGAGTGTCTCTCTCACAGAAAGCGGGATGGGCAGAGGAAGTTCCAGGCAGTCAGGAGGAGGATGTCGAGGTCTAGTGTAGCAAAGCTAAGAGATGGGCTTCCCTCCACCACATCTACATGCATTTCGGCGACTTTCTGGGGCAGGTGCATTTGGATGAGTCACAACATTTTGAATGTATCCAGACGATTATGAGCTTCAGATACATGAGTGAGGCCCATTGTGTAGCCATCAACAAGGAAAAGAATGCACATGGAAGGATGTCAGGATCAGGCAAAAGATGCAGTGCTGCCAGAGCGAAGGTGCAAAACATACGAGTGGTGCTCGAGTCCTCTCCTGTCCGGACCGGTCTCTCTTTCGAACTGCAGGACGAGGCAAAGATGCTGACGGAGCTCTCTCCGTAGAACTCGAACTAAGGAAGGCTGCGCGAAACAATGCAAAAATAGTCGGAAGGATGGCGCTAAGATGTGGCACAACCAAAGCAAAGGATTGTTCTCTCTCCAAAAGCAAATGAGGCACGCTTACGGCCGGTGATGCGCGACAGTCTGAGAACAATAAAAAATGGGGCTAAGGCGAATCGCAACCTGAGAATAGTCAAAAGATGGAGCCAAGGTGAAGTGCAACCTGAGAATAGTCGATCACCACAATCTGAGAATAGTCAAAGATGGGGTTAAAGCACCAGTACATGCCAGCTAATGGCCGCGGGCCCCTTTCGGAGGCCGCCCACCGCTGATTCATCTTATCTATATGGCGCTCGGCCTCTTAAATTTTCAGAGAGGCTCGAAACAGGTTCTCCAGCTGCCTGGGGCCATGTACTGGTGGTTTAAGGTGAACCCTTCAACCTGAGAATAGTCGGCGATGGCGCTAAGGTTGAGGGAGCACAACCGAAGCTAAAAGGAGTGGGTGAGACATGAAGGATGCCCGGGTGTGATTGACCGGACTGGCTTTCTGGAGGATTATGAAAGAGTAGCGAGGATTTCCCACCGCTGACACTCCTCGCTCAAGGGTTGAAGAAGGTGCATGATGATCAAGTGTGTGATGATCGACAGTCCTCACCTCATTGCGAGTTCCCAATGGACTTGGAGCCAGGACATGATGGCATGTGAACATTGATGTCGGATTTGTCATAGGGACGAGAGATGGGAGATGGCATGTGAAGATTGACGTTGGATTTGTCGTAGGGTCGGTCGAGAGATGGAAGAGGAGGAATCTTTACGAGTATATTGTACATACAGCAGAGAGTAAGCGGCTTCGGAAAGAAGACAAGGCAGCCTGAACACCATCCCAATTAATCATGACATTATCCTGTGCCGTGGTCAGGGTTATTTTTATAGGCATAACAATTTTGACAGATGGTCGGGCCTCTGGAGGGGCATAAGTCAAAGCAATTCACACAAAACGGCATCCTCAGCTTCAGCGGGTAAGCATGGAGGGAGGGAGGGAGGGAGGGAGGGAGAAATCAGTTTCAACGGTTAAGCATGGAGGGAGGGAGGGAGGGAGGGAGCGAGGGAGGGAGGGAGTAGTCTCAGAGAGGCGGAGAGAGTGAGGTTTATATCGAGTAACGCAATAAGGATGGCAGGGCTGGAGGAAGCAATTGCGACAGGTGCACCAGATACATTCAGAAGGATAGAACACTTCTGAGGGTGGATGAGAAGTTGAGAACAAAGAAGAGCGTACGTGAAAGGTGCGGGTTACTTCATCTGAAAGGTGTGTGCGGGTCGCTTTGGTTTACAAAACTATGGGCATCATTAAACTAATCAACATGCGACAGGTATCTGGATGGAGATGTGCACCAGATACATTCAGACTGATAGAACATTTTGAGTGTACTGGGTCCATTACCGACTCCCGATACATTGTGAATGCCCTTGTTAAAAGGAGGGAGCAGTTTCTCTGATGAATTGCCCTGGTTTTGCTAGAGCTACGTCCTTGGCAGAAGGGGTCCGTCTGGACCACCAGAAACGTTCGGACTGATATAACGTTTTGAATGTCCTGGGTCCATTACCAGCTCCAGATGCATTCCGAATGTCCTTGGTAGGAGCGACCAGTTTCTCGAACCACTTTGTGAAGGCGCAAGAGGAATTGATTGACAGTTTGAGACAGTCCCACTTCAGATGTGAAGGCTGTACAATGCCAGGATAGTGGTAAAGGGGGGAATCTGTGAATGCCTCTGTTTTTGTCAGTTGTCAGAGCTATGTGTTTGTCAGAAAGTGGTCAGTCTTTATATGAGCGAAGGTTCCATGAGGGAAAAAGAATCGTAACCAAGCACTGCCTGCCTTGCGCGAGTTTACAGCTGTATTTGGCTGAAAGCCTGAAAGGGAAAAAGGCCGTGCGCGAATGAAAAAGGACTCTAATTATATATGAGGGCAATCGTTATGTTCTTTTTTGTGGAAGCCGTGAGGTTCCGGACCAAGAACGTTTGACGAGGTACGGACGGATTGCAAGGAAATTGTGACGTGAGTGGCTTTGGGGCTATCAGTAGTTGCCTGAAAGGTACGAGAGATTGCGAGAGGATAAGGACTGGCATGACTTCCGAGCTGTACTCTCCGCTGGAAGGGACCGACCGTGCGTGAAGTGAGGGGATATCGCTAGCACATGGCTGGAAGTGAAAGACGGTGCTTGAAGAGCATGCCGGAAAAGGAGGATTGAGGGGATATCGCTAGCACACGGCTGGAAGNGGTTGGCGCCACCAGCCATTTTGCGCCGGTAGTCCCGAGCCTGCCCGCCTCCCATGTTAACCGACGGGCATTTGAGCAGGGAAAGGTACTGGTGGTTTAACAAACCCTTCTTTTCTTTTCTTTTCTTTTCTTTTTTTTTTTAAGAAACAGCCTGAGCTGATGCTAGGGGATCTGGTAAGAGCAGACACCACTACCGCTGCCAGGGAGGGTCCATCTATTGAGGGGGAGCAGCACCTGCTGGAAAGCGGGTCCAGCGTCCCTGAACATTGTAGTTGTTTGTGTGAATAAACATACATTTGTGTTGACTGCTAGTTATCCTGAGTTGTTGGCATACAAGACAGTCTAACGTAAGTACTTGTAATGACATTAACCTGCTGGTACCTCCTATAGGGACCAGAGCTTAGCACTTAGAGGTACTCAGCAGCCTGACTTGCTTACCCGCTGGCAGTCTAAAGTAGGTGATAGTATGCCCAGATCCCATGGTTGCTACTAAGAGAAATGGAGACAGTTTGACTGCTTCACTCCTTTTGCCCAGCTAACATCCTTGTTGTCTCAGTTTCTGGGCCTAATTCTATCCACCATGCTTATCGTTCAGTTCCGGAAGGCACGCTTGCCTACCCTTTGCCCTACCCCCACCCTACATTTTCTGGATGCTTGATACTAAAAGGACTGGACACAAAAACCAAAGAGCCTCCTGCTGTTCCACATTGGTCCAACCAATGAAGTGCTGTAACTGCTGTTGAAACGGTCGACCAGTGGTTCTATGTCCTGGGCTGGGCTTCTGTTATACCGGGAAGCTTTGTCTGCACACTTCCGTGCTTTCATTGTTGACTCTGTCATGGGTCCTGCAGGGTCTTCCCCTGGTTATTTGATCCAAGCTTCTTCGAAGGACCTGCTGCATCTTTCCTTTCTGCATGTGGCCTGGCCAGGTCTCTTGAGTTCGCAGGAAGTCTTCAAGCATTGGGGTTACGGATTCAACGAGTCATTACCAGGGGGGGCTGCTGGTGGCTCAGGCAGGGATGGAGGGGGGGATTCCGATAGCTGGGGGGGGGGGGGGGGGGGGGGGGGGGGGGGGGGGGGGGGGGGGGTGGAGGAGTGGGGGAGTGGGGTTGTTTGCAAGCCCAGGAGTCCATGTTCGGATCCCTAGCGTAAAGACGTTGGAGTTTAAACCACCAGTACATGGCCCAGCTATCGACCACGGGAAAAAATAGAGTAGAAACATTTCTAGTCGAATGAATTCGGGCGCTCCTGTAGTGGCCCGTGCGTTTCTAGTCGGATAAATTGTGGCTTGTTAACGGGCACGACTTCAGGAAGTACTGGTGGTTTAAACCACCAGTCCATTTCCCAGCTATTTGTTCCGCCACTGCAGGTGCCAGTTCATCCTCGGCGGAATCACAGGCGGAGCCCTATCGGACGAAGAAAGGCTGGCATCTCTAGGCGAATCACATGCCGCGCG